GTACGCAATCTCTGCAGCACACTGAGCTCTGAGAGGAGAGACTTCTCATCTGCCCTGGTCACTTCTGTTCCTCAGCATGTAGCACAGGGCCCAGCCCAGAGAATGTTCCCCAAGGTATCACATGATGCCCCAGGGTCAAGGCTCCAGGTCAGGGCTCAGTGTGTGACCACGACTGGATGTCAGTGTGTGACTGGTGTGAAGGCTCAATGTGTAACTATGGTTAGGACACAGTGTGGGACCAGGATCAAGGCTCAGCCTGGAATTAGTGTAGGGCTGTGTCTAGCATAAGCCTATAACACAAGTAAGTAGTCATTGCTAAAAATGGGGTAAACCCCACCATGGTGGATATGTTCAGTGCACAGGACCCAGAATGAAGATTCACAAAGGCTTTGCATAGGTATTGGCATAGAGATTGACCCACTAAAGGATAAAAGGCTGGCCTTCTTGAGGAGGGGCATCCAAGGGGACACAGTGCAGAACAATGTCACCTGTGCCCAGTGGAGGATGCACTGGAGGTGGCCAGGCCATACTCCAGAGGCAGCTGAATGTGGGGCCACCAGGCCGGGTTCCTTCATAGACACAATTACTGATACACTGCCTGCCTATGAACCACAAAACAAGGAGAAGCCTCTGTCTTGTCTCGGGGACACTGTGTCCTTGGCCCCAGCTGGCTCGGTCGACATCCGGAGAATGCTGGGACCTGATGCTGTCTGTTCAGGCCAGCTCTTTGCCTACTGCTTCTTCACGGGGTCAGCTGGGTGCCCAGGGCACACTGAGGTCCCAGTGGTCACACCTGGCTCCTACCTGCCCTCTCCTGTTGGTTCCTAAAAGTCTTCCCAATTGTGATCATAGATTGTGCCTGCCAGATAGGGACAGGAGATGATGCCATCCACAGAGGGAGCTCTCAGTCAAAGAAGGTGATGGGTAGGAAGGACCTGAAGCCAGGAAGGTGCTCAGGATGCCTCACAGGAGGCTGAAGGCAGAAGTATGGCCACCAGAGCAAGGGAGGCCCAGTGCACTCACAAGTCATGACTACCATTGACAGTAGCACCACTGCTCTTTATACTGTTATTTTGCATTTGTGTAAAAACAAACAAACAAACTTTTGGAAGAAAAATCAGCAGGTACAAAGTAGCATCCCATCCCATGCCAAGTAATATGTATGCAAATATATTTGTGTATTTAGGGATATAAAATAACTGGGAAATAACTCTAGACTCACATAGTTCCCTTGGGCCAGAATCAAGAAGACACAGGGCCTCAGGCCCTAGGCAGATGTCTAGAAATAGGGGTAGGAGCCACAGCACATCACACTTAGGCCTTCTAGCCAGCCAGCTGAGCCACCATTCCTGGAGCCTCAAGGCTCTATTGCCCACCTCCACACCTGCGCACCTAGCACCAAGGTGTCCTGCAGAGACTTCTTCACACCACTAGCTCCAGGTGAGGGGTGGGGATGGCCATGGGAAGCTTGACTCAAACATCCCTTTGTCTCCTCCAATGGTGTCATCCCTGAATAGACCTAGGTCTCAGCCCTGCAGGTCACCACACTCACAGGAAGGCCAGGGACATAGGGCACCTCAGGGAGATGTCCTAGGTGAACCTTCCAGCCTCTGGAATCTGAACAGTCCTGGCTCCCTTCAGTCCTCTGCTAATTTTCCCTGCCCAGCACATAACATTGCCCTGCCCTTGCTCAGCCAGTGTGATCCAGGCTAGCTCTACATTTCCTTCCCTTTCGAGATCATCCCTGAGAAGGCCTCTAGGCCTGGGTGGGTCCCCTGGGGGCTTCCCTGAGGGCATATGGCAGGTCTGTGGGTTGTACTACCAGCAAGAGAACTGTCTGGGAGGGAAGGTGAGGCTTCCTGGGCTGGGTATGCAGCCACCAGCTGCTCCAAGGTCCACTTGAGGGCCTCAATACCATCAGTCGCTGTAGGAGCAGGTTCTGCCATCAGCATACTCTGCTACTATGACCATGAGGCCAGTAGGGCACCCTGCCACCAGTGGGAGTTGCACAGCTGCTGCTCGAACACAGATGCCTTGGATGTTGCCACTGGGGTTCTTCTGGAGGACGGAGCAATGCAGGCCCTGGTGCTGAGGGTGGGGAGGGCCCAAAGGTAAATGCAGCTGCAGGAGGCTCTGAGGCAAGGGAGGAAGGTGAGGAGGGTGAGAAAATGGGCATGTAGTAGACTCCTCCTAAGTCTGGGGCTTCCGGCTCAGAAGGGCTGGGCTGCAGGGTCTGCAGGGGCAGCCACAGGCAGCTAGGGGCCTCAGGCTCCTCCTCGGCTATGAGGAAGACAGGGCAACATCAATCTGGCCTACCCTGACCAGGCAACACTGGGCACAGATGGGTGGGGTGGGGTAGGTGGACACAGGAGGCTCTTCTCTTACATTACAGCTATGCGGGGCATGGTCCCCACTTGGGAAGCCAGGAAGCAAAGACTGTACAAGGTGAAGGAGTCTACTGAAGCAACACCAGGGCCGGACTGCAGCCTGACGCAATCCTCCCCATCACAGCACCAACCCGGCTTCACCCCCTGCCATCTAGCCACTTGGCCCTCCTCCTTCCACCCAGTGGTCCATTTATCTACCCACCATTCTGCCTGTCCATCTGTCCACTTGGCCATATATAGCTCTCCTTGAATCTCCAATTCCACTCATCTATCTGTCCACCTATTTGTTCATCAATCATCCAGGCAGGCTCCATCTATCCATCCCTTTTCTTCTATTTCCTTCCGTTTATCTACCCACCCACCCACCATCCAATTATTCTCATACTTATCCAAGCCTGTCTGTCCATCCATACACACATCTATTTACCATCTATCTGTGCTTCTGTCCTCCCTCCCTCCCTACTTTCTTCCCTCCTTTCCTTCCTTTTCTTCCATCCATTATCTACTCATCCATCTTTCCAATGAAGTTTTTCCATCCACCTAGCTATCTGTCCATCCACTTCTCCTCTAGGTACTGTCCATTCGTGCATCCCTCCAAGGGGATGTCCCAGGAGGAAGACGGGCCAAACTCCTCCAGGGGTACAGGAAGAGCCCTGCTCATGGAATCCTGCAGACTTAGGTCCCAAACCACCTCTGCTTGGCCTCCATAGCTATGTGACTCTAGAGAAAAACCTTCCTTGAGTTTCCAATTCCTAATGTGTAAACAAAAGGCCTGTAAGCCTGAGATCTCTCTGGGTATGGAGGACAAGTCAGCAATTGCCCCTTCCTGATGTGTATGGAATGCCCCACACTGGTGGGGACAGGAGGACACTGGTGGTTACTTCTGGCAGGCCATTGCCCACTGAGCCCCACTCCCCATCTACAGTGTGGGGCAGTTCCTGTTTTGTAATATAAATAAGATGATCACGGTGTCAACCCACAGCTGGCCACATGCCCCCTTGGGAACACATCAGGTAGCGTTCATGGAGATAAGGGTGGCCCAGATGCTGTGACTGCTGCCTCCTTCTCCTCCTTCTTGCTGTCAAATCCATCCTTCTGACCAGGTGGCCCCCGGGTGCTCAGGAAATAACATCCTCCTGCCACACATAGACATTGAGCTTCTGCTGCATCAACCTCACTCAGCCATGGCAGCTTCCATTTTGACCCTAGGGAGGCCTGGCCAGTCTCAGGGGAGGGCCCAGGTGGGCATCCAGCTGCTGTCCACACACCAGAAGGTGGGGCATCAAGGGCTGGGCAGAAGGATCCCTGAGTGGATATCAGAAACCCAGCCTCCTTCTGCCCACCCTGTAGATGAGCCTGGGCATGAGCTCCCAGGCAGATGCTCACCGGCTCACAGGAGAGGCCACCCTCAGCCACCCTGACCTTGAGTTTGACACCACTGACAAAACAAATGGGGACAAAAAACAAACAAACAAACAAACAAATGGAGGCCAGCAGGGTCTTGCCTCCATGGTCACAGCCTCAGGCATGCTTGCTTGGTCCCTGCCTATGCCTGCAGCCACCCACCTAGCATGAGGGTCAGCCTTTGCCTAGGCCTTCAGGCAGTGGGCCAGAGCCAGCCTGATGGGTGCTGCTCCTTCCCACTGTGCCATCCCTTCTCTTGGAGCATGCTTCTCTTCTCCCTCATGCCCAAGGCAACCAAGGATGCTCCCCAAGCACAAAACTGATTTCCCAAAGCCCCCAGGAGAACGAGGGCCTTGCAGCCACCCCTATGTCATCACAGCCCCACACACTGGCTGTGGCTCCTCCTCTGACCTCACCATCTGTGCCCTGCTGGCCTCTCCCAGGGAGTGCACCCACCCAGGCTGCCTCGGGGCCTCTCCGAACACCCACAGTACCCTACCCCCCTCAGCCCAATGGAATGGATGTCTACTCGCCCTGGCCCAGGGACACAGGCTCCTCAAGGGACAAGCTCTTCTTGGTCAGGCCACAGACAGGGGTGTGAAATCTCAAAGAGGGTTCTCAAGTTTCCTGAGTCCTTTTCACATGGGGTTGCTCTTCCTCCCTAAAAGCCACCCACTGCTCTGAACACAGGGACCCAGGTCCTAGCCTAGGAGCAGACACAGAGCTACATGATGGCATGGGGGGGTGGGCAGCAGGAGGCCCATCCAGACCTGGTAGAAGTGCAGAGCCTGGCTGACCCTCCAACACAAACGGCTCCCAGGGTATCCCTGGGGCAGCACAGCCAGTGTGGGCCATAATGCACTTATCTCCTAGAACACGTAGCCAAGTCACTCCTCTGTGGGAAAACCTGCCCTCTGCCCTGTGCCCTGACAGCCAGCCTCCTCTGTGCCAGCTGAGAAGACCCAGCCACCTACCTGCCTCATAGGCCAGGTGGCTAAGGAACTCAAGGGAGAAGGCAGCACGGAGTCCAAACAAGAGAAGACAAGGTGTTGACCACCATACCCAGGCCGCATGCAGACCTCACTGCAGGCCAGTCTCTTCCCCTCTGCAGCCTGGACTTAAGCCAGTGGCCAGGCTCAGAAAAGACCCCGTGGACATGCCTTTCCGCCTGGCCTCCCAGATAAAGGATGGCCGGCTGGGCGTTCTCACCCTCATACGCCTTACTTGGTGCCCACCAGGAGCTCTCTGGCTGCCTCTGCATCTGCAAGCAAGAAAACAGCAGGCAATTACAATGTAGAAACCTGCTGTCTGCCCTGAGGCTGACCCTGAAGCCAGCCCCAAGCAACCCAAGCCCAGGACGGTGGAGAAGCAGGTAACCTACTTGCCTCCCCTCCTGTGGGGTCCCTGAGGTCATGCCCACATAGGATTCTAGGGAGCCCATGTCTAGAGAGACAGAGGCCACACAGGTGGGGCTCTAGGAGCCAGCTGAGGTTCTCCCTTGTGTGGGTGTGGTCGGTCAGGACAGCAGGACAGAGGGTCTGGGTGTGCTCCTCGGTGGGAGGGGCTTCTCCAAATCTTTCACCCATAGTGCTCACCAGGCACACCCCCAAGGCAGCCTGAGCCTCTGGAGGCTGAGGCTGAGGACAGACGGAGGCTGTCCAAACCACGGGGTGCTGCTTCCCAAGACTGGCACCACGTCCAGCCCAGCAGGATTTGCTATGAGGGGGCAGAGTCCTCAGACAGGGGGAGCTACTCTCTACCCTGCCAAGTGGGACCCCTGCTCTGATCATGGCAACATGGTCCCATCTCTAGAGCCCAGGATGGAGAGCCACGCATCCTGCTTTTGAGAAGTGCTCAGGCCTTGCACAGACCCATGGAACCTTGGTCACTAACTCTGCTCCACCTCACCCAGACAGGGCAAGGCTAGGAGGGCCAAAACACCATCCCCAGGAGGGAGGCCAGGCCCCCTGCAGGGAGTGCCCATGGGGAGGGGAAGAAGCGATGCTCAGTCCTCCTGGGGGTAGAGCAACCCTCCTTCACTCATGAGAGAAGTGGCCTAGAGGCAAGCCCACAAAGCTGTGTCATGTCGAGGCCAGCTAGAGGAGATGGAAGGATGGGGCCTGAGGTTTATGTGTCCACACCCTGGGGCTGAGGGGCAGCGGGGAGAGAGGCCTGCCCCTGATGCTGTGCACCCTACAGACCCACGGCAGCGAAACCGCCCCACACCTATCATGGAGAAAGCTGGCACAGATGACCGTGGCTGCACGTCACCACACAAAGGCAGGCTGTGGAGGCCTGGGCCAGCACAGGTGGCACTGGGGAGGCCGTACACCCTACTGGGTCCTTTCATGGCCTTATGACCACACACAGCCTCGACTAGTGGTGGCGAGCCTACAGCATGCATGCCTCAGAGGGCTGTTTCTATCATTGAAAGCTCTGAAAGGTTCACCATTCCTGGTCTAGACTGTAGCCCGGGCCCTACCCCTAGACTTGGACAAGGCCTGATGATGGTCTATACCAAGCCCTGGCCCTGGGGACAGTCTGAGCCCTGACTCTGCCCGCTGCACACACCCTAGAGGTGTGTGCGTGATGCCCATGCCCAAGGTCCACCCTCAGAAGAGGTGGAAGCCAGGCTCCCAGGGCTCTAGGCATAGGCTGCAGGTCACGTAGAGGTCATAGGTGACCTCAGCTGGTCACAGTGATCCTCCAATTCACACACAGTCCTGCCTGGGGGATATCAGACAACCAGATAGCCCAGATTTTCAATCAGCACCCACCTCAGCCCTGGGGTTGCCCGATGGGCATGCACTGCCCTGACAGCAGAAGGAGGGTTGTCCCTGGAGCTGTGTAGAAACAAAATTAGGTAGCATTCTGTCAACTTCTCACCCTGGGCTAATGCTCCTGCCCTGTCTATAAATTCCAGGTCTATGGAGTCTGCCTGCAGAGCCACATCCCTGGGCACACCCTTGTGTCCCAGCACAAGGGGCTGCCATGGGAGCTGCTTGCAAGGGCCTCTGAAACACCCATGGCAGTGCCAGGCCCCAGGGACCAAAGAACATCACCCTTCCCAGACACATGCCAAGCAGGAGCCACCACATAGGAACTGTGCCTCTCAGCAGCCTCAGGACACAGGACCTCCACGGAAATCCAGTGAATGACCAACTGGCTGTCTTCACTCCCAGAAGGGGCTCACAGGTAACCTGACGGAGGGAAGTGAGACCAGGCTAAGAGCCCTGGAGGTAGGGTTGATCCATCAGGGTCAGGGAAGCCTCGGCCAGCCTCACTCTAGGGCAGAGAACTATGGGCAGCACTCTCGTGTTCTGCTGCCCCTCTGGCAGGATATATGCAGGAAGGGCTTAGACATGCAAGCCATACCAGGCCCACCATTCACCAGACCCTGTCAACCCCATACTGTGTGCCCACACTTACCTGAGGCCTCTAAACCAGGCTGCCCCATCTCAGAACCCCAGGTACAGGGCCCTGATCCAATGAGAGGCTACAGCAACAACCCTGGACTTTAGGCCTGACTGCCAAAACATGTAGGTCCTCCTCTTGCCCTGGCCTGACCCCGGATTGGCACACAGGCAAAGGCCAGTGCCTAGGCAGGTCCTGTGCCCATGTGTCCTGGCCACAGGCATCACAGTGGAGGAGGAGCTACAGTGCCAGGCTTCCAAGTGCTACCAAGCTACCTACTCGTCCACATGGGGTTCCCTCAGGAGGGAACTGGTTCTACTCCTAAGGCTTTTTCCAGTGCCCTTCCTGTAGCTTTTGGGGAGAAGTCCAGCTTGGCTTTGAGGCAGGGTAGTGAGGAGAGGAGCAGCAACAGGAGGAGGCCCAGGGGAAAGAGGAGGTAGTGCTAGGCATCTGAGCCAAAACCACACATAGGTCAGAGGCATTTCAGACTGCAACAGATACCCAGCCAAGAACAGAAACTTTGGGCAAAGGGGATCCCTAAAGTGGGCCCACAGAGGACAGCAAGTCTGGGAGGCTGCAGCCCACAAGAGGATGTCTGGGAAGGGTCTGCAGAGGGTGTGGTCAACCTGATCCCACCAAGCCCAAGGGATGCCAGGGTGGGGCAGAGGGGGATTCTGGGTGAGGCACTAGGGGATGCTGGGGTGGGGACATGCTGGGCTTGGATGCTTCCCTGGCTCTGCCAAAATTCCACAGCGGTAATGATCAATCTGTTGGCTACCCCTCATGGCAAAGGCCAGCTCTGTGGCCTTGACTTCCCACACAGCTATACCCCAGGCTCCCTCTGCTCCAGGGCTGAGTCCAGTTCAGAGGAAGAGAGAGGGGAAGTCCTCCTTCCACCCAGACACATTCACATCTCCAAACAGATATTCAACTGGCCTGCTGCTCTACATGGGGAAGTGGTCCTCACCCTGCTGGGACTTGTTGGTTGTTAAAACCTGGTGGCCTATGACAGTCATGCCCTGAGCTCTGTGTCATAAGCATGCTTATGAGAGGGCTGAATGAACAGGTCACCCAGGACATGGCTGGGGCAAGACATGGGGCCGTGGCCGCACCACAGGAGGTGTCAAACAGCAGAAGCCAGGATGGGACTTGGAAGCTACACCTTGGTAGGGGCCCTACCCTGCTCAGCTCAAGGCCCTGAATCTAGGGCGCTCTGTCCTTATCTCTGTACCTCGCCCAGCTATGAGGTCAGTTCCTAGGTCCTGCAAGTTGTACCTTCAACATCATGGTTCTCACATCTCCACAGTGACATGGATGGAGGATCCCAGCATCATATCTAGACAGGACAGAGGCCTCCCAGTGCCCCACTCTGAGCATGCTTGAGGTGGCTGCCATGATGGGATCCCTGAGGCCCTCAGGTCTGACCAGCCAGTGCCACTGCTATGGAATTTGCACTGGCTTCCAGGATCCTGAGCAGGGAAGGCCTGAGGGTAGGCTGTGAGAAGGGCCACTTCCTTGGCAGGGGCTCAGCTACTTGGCCCTCACCTTGGGGGCCGGGGCTGAGGTCTCGGCCACCATGCACTCCACAGATGTGAGAATGAGGCCAGGGGCCAGGCTCTCTCCACCAGCTTCCTGTGCATAGCACCCCACAGGTCCCTCCACTTGTGCTTGTAGTCACCTAGGTCACAATGGCAGTAGCCCAGTGCATTGATAGCCTGCAGGATGTGGCTCCACACGTGGTGCTTGTGGGCAGGTGTACCCCGAAGTGCTCCGAACAGCAGTGGATAGTGGCCAGCCACCCTCTGCATGAGCCCTTCTGTCTCCTGGGGGCTGAAGTTGGGCTTTGGGTCTTGGTGTGGGAGTGGGCCCCTGGCTGCAGAGGTGCGGAGCCTGACCCTATATCCTGCAGCAGGGCCACGTCCACTGGTTCTGGGCTGGAGCTCTGCCCGCATGTGGCCTTCCTGATGCTAGATCCCGGAAAGGCAAGAGAGTAAGTGGGGAGCCAAGTGCACAGGCACACAGCTCTGGTCCTCACAAGCTCCCACATCAATGCCCTGTACATAAGTGGCCCACACCCGCCCTATGGGGGTCCTGGAGTCACAGCCATCCTTGGAGCCCCTGCTGGCCTGCTTTCTTGTGCCATCCCTGCCTAGGTGCAGGCCAGTCTGGGCTTGTCCTTCCCCTGCAGGACATCCTGCCCACTAGGAGATGGCCCATGTCAGTCCAGCATGGGGACTGGGAAGCATTTGGGGTGGAAAAGTTATTGGGCACATTGTACATCCCACCCCTGGTGCAATGGCTGTAGTCCCCACTGTGGAAGCAGATAGCAGGGAAGGGGTCAGGAAGATGAGGAGACAGGGCAGATACTGGGGAGGGTGGCCATGATAGCAGATGAAAAGGCCCTGAAAGCACCATGCAGGGCTATGAAGTGGACAGCAAGGAGGTTAATCTCTGGAGTGTGGGTGAGCAGGCTGGGACACAGCTGCCTCCACTCAGGCTCCTGGTATAGGTCTCCCCTACCTGGGGGAGCAGAGCCCCAGGGAAGTATGCCAGCTGACTGCTTGGCTCGGGACACTTGGCCCTCAGAGCTAGAGGTGGGTAGTCATTCCCAGAAACAGGCCCAAATGAAGCACCGGTGTGGCCATGGACACATGGAAAGCAAGTGGGGAGGTGGAGGCTTCTGGGCCCTGGGTGATAACTGCACCAGCCAAAAGCTCTGGGCACCCAAAGCCAGCCTGCTTGTCCTCTGATGTATAGCCCAGGGCACAATGCAGAGAGCCACACGGTCCTGCCCTGCTGGCTCAGCCAGCACTTGGGACTCTCATGGGGCAGCAGGGATGGGCCACATGCCAACAAGTCCTTCAAAGCCTGCCTGCACACCCAGCACCACAGCAGGCCAGGGGCAGCACAGACAGGCCTCTTAGGGGCCAAACTGGGTAGATGGCCCCAGTGTTCCTGGTGCTCCCTGGGCTCTGAGCCAGGGAGGAGGCTGCAGTATGTGGAGTCAGAGCTAGACTCAGCCCTCACAGAAAATGCACTCAGTGGCTGCTTCCTTTCCAAATCATACAGAGCTAACTGGTTAAGCAGGGGCTCCAACAAGAGCAGGAAGGTTTTCAAAACATCTTTCTCCTTATTATCCAAATGCAGAGGGCCATTTCCTGGGACCAGAACTTTTGGGCCTCAGGGAGGGAGATGGGGAAGCTCTCCTGAGGGAGCCCACAGGTGACCCACAGACAGGCAGAGGCAAGGTTGGGCCTGTCCCTTCTCCCCAGTCCTGGCAGGGGGCGGTGACAAAGGCAGTGGGCTGGAGAACTGACAGGCTTGGGCTCGGCTTACCCAGTAACTCTGGCTTGTGTCCCATTGCTGAGGAAGGTCCCTCTCTCGCAGTAGGTAAGGACACAGTGACACAAGCTTCAGCCTCCCTGCTCCACACTCATCACTCATCTGACGCCTTGTCCCAACTGCTTACCACCCAGCTTGGCCATACCTTTGACCAGACTAGGTAGGGCTGCATGGGACAGATCCGCCATGCCCAGATCCTCACTGGCCCTTCCTGTCAGGGGCCCCACACTAAGGGCCAGACTGCCTGGGCCCTCAGCCTTGCTGTACTACTTGCTCCCAAAGAACAGCATGGCCCAGGGACAAGGGGCTTTGATGCCATCCAAGTGTCCCAGTTTCTCTGGGGGTAGGGGATGTTTCAGGATACTATGCCTTGATGAGACCTGCAAGCTGCCAGCCACTGTCCCATCCCCTGCCCCACACATTTCCCAGAGGTACAGCGAGGCTTGAGGCCCATGATGGCATAAGCAGAGGCAAGGGGCCCTGGCTCCAAATCCCCAGTGCTCTAGCTGCATCTGCCCCCACACAGGATAAATTCTCACTCTGAGGAGTCCTTGGGCAGGCGTAAGGCCTGGGGCTTGAAACTAAGAAGGGAGGGAGGGGAGTGATGCCCAGGCCCAGATCCCACCTTGGGCCTCACTCATCTCCACCTACACCTAGAGGATGGGGGTGGCCTGAGGGTGGAGCAGGTACCCACCGTGACATCTTGCTCTGACATCACAGAGGCTGTCTTCTATGAGCTGATTCACATCCAGCAAGTCACTCTGGAGAAACAGGATATAATATTTAGGAGCAGGGTCTACAGGTGCAGAGACAATGGGGGTCCCCTGTGTGGAGGGAGGCCAGACCCAGACACCCTCTGGTGACCAACTGTCACCCGCTTCCTGTTAGAGGAGTTATGGAGCCAAAAAGGGCAAGAGGTAGGGCAGGGTCTGGACACTCAGCCTCTTCCTCCTAGCCAAGGTCCAGGCTTTCCAAGCAGCCCAGAACCAAGAGCTCCTTATGCCCGTAGACATTCGCAGACAAGTTTAGGACAGTGACCCTAACACAGATGGAGACCTGACAGGGAGAGACTAGAGGATGTCCAGAGCAGACCATTCTGTCTGCACTGCCTGCAGCGACACCGCTCCTGTAGGTACCCCACCCCCACCCACCTGAGGGAGCTCCCTGACAGAGGGCCCTACCTCCCCCTTTCTGTAAACCAGAACCTAGCACAGGCCAACACACAGGTGCTGCTCAGCAAACCAGGAAGGGGCAGAGTGGAGAGGATGGTGGGAGAGTGTATGGCTAATAGGGGATGGACACGTAGGTGGGAAAGTAGGGGATGAGCAAGTAGGTAAAAGGTGAGAAGGTAAGCAGAGGCTGAGCAGGTAGATAGGTGGGAGAAGGATGAGCAGGTAAATGGAAGATGAGTGGGTGGGTGGAGAATGAGCAGGCAGGTGGTGACCCTGGTGCTATCCAGTCACTAAGTGGCTCCATGAAGCTACAGTAGAGAATAGGGTGAGAAATTTGAGCCAGGAGGCCTCTGAGGTCCCAAGTCATGGGATTCTCGCCTCCTCCACTCTTGTGGAACTTTGTCCTAACTCTTTTTACTCAGCAAAGTGGCCATCATGATTGTGAGGGGTCGTGGCCACACTGCTCACAGACCATACACCGAGGCTGAGCTGAAGGCAGAGTACACATTTCCGCCCTTGTTCCCAGAACCAACCACGAAGAAAGAAAGACTAGAGGTTGAGAGGTCCTGTGACCTCCTGGCCTCTCAGAAAGAGGGACAGTTGGGACACACACCAGAGTCTGCTGCTTGGACACCCTTGCCTTTCCTGCCACCTAGAAAGGAAGGTTCCTCCTCCAGCAAGCTGTGAGACCCCGGACACCCTCTTCTTTCAGGACTGCCACCCATAGAGCATGGCATCTTCCTGGCTGCTGTGAGCCCCTGGGAAAACCAGTTTCCTTATAGCCAGGTTTGGTCACCTGGCACAGGTATTGGTCATCCCAAGCCTCTCATGGCACTGGGCACATGGTTGGGTTCAAGCTCAGGCTGGGGGAATTTACTTGTGCTTGCCAGAACAGGCAGGGAGGAGTGGCCACGGCTCCTGCCCCAACACACCCACCCACTCCGAAGCTCATTCTGGAGCTGAAATTGATTTCCACAAGGGTCATTTCACCCTACTGCAAAATATTACAGGGAAATTCATTTTCCTTTTAGGAGTGTTCTGGGAAATGAAGCAATTAGCATGATCTTAAACTGACATGTACTATCAATTGCAATTCAATTACTGGGCTTAAATATGGTGCAGGGCGGGTGGCTGCTTTATGGGACTTGGCCATAGCCGGGAAGGTGGAGAGGAGCATGGGGGCCAGGGTCTTAGCTGAGCACAGCAGATGGGGGGATGGGTATTGCCTGGTTTCTAGGCACATGATCACCACTACCTGCTCTCGGAAGAGAGGTCTCACCCTCACATGGAGCTGCCAAGTCATAAGTTGAGGGATCCTGGCCCAGCTGGGCCTTGGAGAGACTGACCCCACCTCCACAGACTTCCAGGTTCCTGACCCAACCTACAAGAGACCAGACACCAGGCCCACAACACACTAGTCCCAGCTCAGAACACCTCAGCCTAGCCATGGCTGCATGGGGACTTGGAGACTCAGAGGAGCCTTTGTAAGAGCTTCCCAAGCAGCAGCTCACTATCTCCCAGTACTACATGCAGCTCACTCATTATTCCACTTTACAGGCAGAGAAACTGAGTTGTGGAGAGGCTGGCTTGTACAATGACACACAGCTACAAAGTGTTGGTGCCAGCACCCAAAACCAAGTTTAGGCTGACCACATCCCATGTCACTTCTCACCAGGGAGCTAGTGAGCATTGAGGACCCTTGATCAGCACCCAGGGATGGTAAGCCTCCCTCCAGGATGGAGGCAGGCAGTCACTGACAGTGGGAGGCAGACCCCGAAGATGGGCACAGAACAGGGCCATCATGCGAGCAGAGGAGGGGATCCAGGATAAGCACAGAGGGGTGTCCCTCTAGTCCCCTGAGGGCTTCAGGTACACCCACTCAGCTCTCCACCACCCCAGCCATTCATACCTGCAATGCCTGTCCGGACTATAGTAGGATCTGTACCCAGCAGGACAGAGGAACTGAGCAGGGCTGCTGCTGGGCTGTCTGCTCTTCACTGGACTCAGAAGAAAAGGTAACAGACCCCCACAAGCACAGAGGAGGTGAGCCACTCCCAGCGTACAAGAGGAGGCTTCTGGGCTGCTGTACCACCCCCGCAAGCACAGAGGAGGTGAGCCACGTGAGCACTAGCAGCAACCCACCCCCTGCCCCCTTCGAAATGAGAAGACATGTAAACAAGTCTCAAAACCAGACTTCCAGATCACCTACAGCAACCCCAAAGGGAAATGAGATAGAACACTCTGATACTCAACCACCTGGACTCCCTGAACTGGTAACAAAAGAGGATCTGGAAAAAATGAAATCAGAAATAATTTCTCAGATAACAGC